GGGAACCAGGGAGGTCATGAGGGAATGGGCCAAGCAGAATGGGCAGAAATCCACCTTCCCTGGCATTCTGATGGGTCTCTTACTTTAGAGCAGGGGATGCTAACATTAACTGCACAGACGCTGTCAGGGACTGACAATCCCCCTAACTTTGTAGACTCAAGTTGATACACACATGCACCCATTTTTCTCAGGAAAAGAAGTCTTTGATTTTCGACAAGAACTTAACTTTAGGCAGATAATCTGACATCATAAATTTTAAAAGTGCAATTTATTTTTCTAGCTAATACAGCACAAAAACATTTAGTGTCCACAGGAACAAGATCTGCCTGTAGCACAGAGTCAGGAGCCACCTGCACGTGGGTCCCGGGGGTCTCTCAGGACAGTGCCTCCTTCTAGCACTGCACCAAGGGAAGAAACACGGAGGGAAGGCCTGAAAGCTGGGGGTGGGGTTGGGGTGGCTATTCATTTCTTTTCCCAGGTAAAGACATGAAGACTAAGAAAACCAAATAAATAAGAGTCTCCAGAGCCTGTGTCCTACAAAAGAGCCAGACTTGAATTTGCAAATGCCAATGATTTTTGGAACATTTTCAAAAACACACTGAACAGAACTCATTTTCAACCATACGATTTCTTGAAGATCAGTTTTGTTGCTAATGGGCATATTTAAAGGAGGGAGCAGTGAGTGGCTGGTCCCTGAGTGATGCTGAGACCATATGCATCCAACGTTACTTACGCCTGTAGTCTTCTTTAGCTAAAAGTCGCAAAAATATTTCCTCTAATATTCAATCACTATTTGACTGCTTCTAATAAACAAACTTCTTACCCTTAAGAAAATTTCATTTGTGAATCAGGAATACAACTGACACCAAGGGGACCTCGTCCACATCTTTATCCTCAGAGGAAAAGTGGCCATGGGCTGCCAGGGGCTGAGAAGCCCGGGCTTAACCCTTCTCAGTGTGACCCTGGGGAGAGCTGCTCCGCTCAGTAGGCAGACAGCCCACATCATGGTACTCCTCTCTAGTTTCCAGTGAGAACAGGTCACATTTCACTTAGCAGTTGTGGCTGTTTTTTATATAAAGCTCCTCATAGAAAATATATCAGAAAGAAACTGAGAAAGTCAGGGAGAGAATAAAGACACTGCCCAAAAAGTACATTTTATTTTGTGATATCAGAGCCAGAAATTTCAGACATTTAACTATTACATGGTAGCTTTTTATCAGCAGTCATCCTTGAAGGACATTTTAAAGGTCCTCTGCCCTGCTCATCACCTGAAACTCTTGCAGGGAAATTGGTGGCACTTACATTCCCGCAGTGGTGGCCTCCACCCACGCAGATGACGTCCTGTTTCTGAACTATCAGAGCCTCCCTTGTCAGCTTGAGGCGCACCTCATAGGTGTTGGCAGAGTCCAGGTCGTGCAGCAGAGCCAGCGTGGTCTTGGTCTACCGGACAGAGCAGGAATATAGACAACCGGGGTGAGAACTGGGAGCCTTGGTGGACCGTGCCCCACCCAGCAGGGTCCTAAGTTGCCCCCATGTGTCTGTCACATATGGATGGAAGGGCTATGCTCAGCTGATTATGAATTGATTAATTCATACCCCAAAACAATGGCATTTCAAGCGCTTGTTCTTGAGCAATATTGATAGGGTTTATATAAGATATGTTTTTAAAAGAAAATTAGCTGGGACTTCCTTTTTTGGCTTAAAGGTTTTAACAGTAATTTTACTCAATCATTTTTTCTATTTCTAAAGTGGTACTTTTCACTTTAGCAAAAGCTGTTTGGATAAAAATGATCATTTTGAAAAGTGTCAAAAGATATTTTTATGAAGATTTGTAGGTTTACAGTAGAGAAAAAAGCAATACCTTGAAAATGACCAAAATGTAAACATCAGTCACAATAATTGCACAGGAATCAAATTTACTGAAGGCTTTGTGTTTTGGAGGGGGGGTGCTTCTGCCCCGAGGAGGCTGGAGACACCAAGCAATGAACATTGGATTTCTGAGGAAATATGGATGAGAAGGAAATGTAATTAGCCAAATCTATCAGCTTTGCTAACAGACAGAAATGCATGTCATAGGGACACCCTGGATGGATTGGGAAACACTGCCCCTTCCATGCACATCACCAACTTCCTGGGCTGCAGCTACAGTGGTTTCTTCCCAAACCTGAGGACCTTGCATACACACACACACACACACACACGCACACGCACACTGCTGGGAGCTGTGGGTGGAAATGCCTGTCCCAGAGGTGAGGTCACCGGAACTCAGTGTGGCCTGCATCTGTCAGAGCACAGAGTACCCACTGTGCTGCCTGCACCACCCTGGGAGGATCCCTGCCAATCCCTGGCCTCTGGGTGTGGCCTTTGCCTGTACCCATAAGGACCATATCCCCAGGGCAATGAAGAAATGCACAAATTTCCCTCCCTTCAAGAAGTTGGGGGGCATTTCCATATGAGGGCATGTCACCCTCATAATTAGTAACCTGATTACAAAAATTCTAACCACCTGGGTAACAGCAGGAGATGGAAACACAGCAGACACCTGCCTGGCCTCCCAGACAGTACATCTAAGTCTGCACCCAACACTTTATTCTCCCCAGGGCCTGATTACTGGTCCACAGTGTAATGGGTAAGCTCCCAGGCCATCCCTCAGCCCCCACCCAGGGTTGATTCTGAGAAAAAAGCTTCAGAACAAGGAAGCACGAAAAGTCCCAAGTTTCACAAAAAGCCCCTAAGTTCCCAGTGGACAAACAATGGTGGAAAACTACCCGAGCTGTGTTACCCAAGCTGTAACCATTGTTACCCAAGCTGTAACCCCGTCCCAAGCTAACTGCAAGGTTCTGCTTCTGTACTGGCTTGCTTGCTTAGCTACACAAAAAGAGTATAAAAGACAACCTGTCCTCCACTTTGGGGCCAACTGTCCTTCAGAGCAGCAGTCCCCTGTGCAGGTGTTGGTACAATCACCAACTGATTGTACCTAAAGCGGGTTCCAAATCTATCTTTCCAGGTTGCTGTGGTTACAACAATCTCCCCCAGGGAGATTCTCGCCCTCGGACCCCCACCTGGGCCTACCGCTGGCCAACAGCTCCAGGGTAAGGCCTCAGAGAAGACATTCCTCCACCCTGGGGCCCTCAGATGTGTGGATTCAGGGCACAGGTACCAAAATTTTTCATTCTGGTGACTCAATTGTGGCACCTCAGGTAAGTCTGTCTGGATCTCTAGAGAATTTGGGGGAACTTGACTAGCTGGACAGTGCTGAGAGTCAGTTCCCGTGGCAGAGGAGAGATGTCTCCCTGTCTCCTCAGGTTGTCAGTTTTCTGTGTTATTGGTTTTGGTCTGTTTTGTTTGTCAGTGTCCGCTTGATAATCTGTTTGCAATGGGACAGGGACCATCCACCCCGCTAACTTCTTTAGAGTGTCTTCTCAGTAATTTTTCTGATTTCAGCCGCCATGCCTAGGGCTACAATGCAAAAGTAAAACCAGGCACTCTATGCACCCTCTGAGGGTTGGAGGAGTCAGATTTCAACCCAGATTGACCACTCACTGGGTCTTTTAATCTCTCCCTTCTTTCTAGCATTCACATGACCATTTACGGTCCCCCTGGCCATCCAGACCAGATCCCCTATGTAGATGTATGGATTAACATCACCTCCGAGGGGCTGGCTTACACCCATAAGTGTGGCAATCACTTAACCCCTTCTCATGTCCTTTTTGCCTCTCCATCAGGTTCATCCAGGGCACACCGCCCCAAGACTCAGGCCCCAAAGTCAGAAAGACAGGAGCTTGGAGTCCCCATATTGCCCCCTCCCCCTGAGGACCCTGTTCTGGACTCTTCCCTCCAGGCTCATTCCTTCTACCCACCTCCGCATGATCCCCACCCAGATGTTCCAGCACCATCGGCTCCCCCAGCCCCATGGGCCCAGGGAACTGCGGGGGAGCCCCCACATGGTTCCTCACAGACCTGAGGAGAAACCACATACCAGCCCTCTACCCCAGATTCCACTTCTACCCTGAATCCCCTGGGAGTGGGGCTGCCTTCTTTGGCAGCTCCTATCTTGCCCTTGGGCCAACTAGCCCCCACCCCAGCTGTAGGGGGATAGCCATTCATGATAAATGTCCCCTTTTCCACCAGTAATCTGTACAATTGGAAAATCCAGAACTCCCCATTCTCAAAGAAACCACAAGGACTTTCATCCACCAACCCACTTGGGATGATTGTCAGCAACTTCTCCAGGTACTATTCACCTCTGAGGAATGCAAACACATCCTGAGAGCCACCAGGAAGGCTGTTTTAGAACCGGATGGGCAGCCCAGCACCAATGCAGCCCTGTTGGAGACTCGTTTCCTGAGTGACCAACCCACTTGGGACCCTAAGTCTGATGAAGGTAGGGAAACTCTACTTCAGTACCACTAGATTCTGATGCAGGGCCTCCAAGTGGTCGCTAAGAAGCCTACCAATTTGTCTAAGGTTAGTGAAGTCATTCAGAGACCTGCAGAAAGCTCTGCAGCTTTTTAGAAAGGCTATTAGAAGCCTACAAAACTTATATTTCTATTAATCCAGAGGCCCCTGAAAACCGGTGGGCTATAAATGTAGCCTACGTTGCTCAGTTTGCCCCTGATATTAGAAGGAAGCTACAAAAAGCTCGAGAGTTTTGAAGGGAAAAATCTCAGTGAGTTGGTAGAAGTAGCTCTGTGGGTCTTTAACAACCAGGAGTCTGTGGATGTGGCCACCACTAAATGAACAACTAAAGTCGTTGTAGCCATCCTCTAGGAGCACTCCTGAGATCAAGAAACTCCACAAGGCAGGGGGCCAAGACCCCCCCCTTGAAGCCCAATCAATGCACCTATTTGTAAGGAAATAGGACACTGGAAAAATGAGTACCCCTGGAGAGCAGCTAAAGCACAAGCACTGGCCAAAATCCTCGTTGAGGAAGATGTTGATTGAGGGAGTTGGGGCTCCTTCCTCTTAGGCCCCCGGGAACCCATGACAACCTTACAAGTCGCGGGCCACCCTGTGGACGTCCTAGTAGACATAGGCACAATGTTTTCAGTCCTAAAGAAACCTCAAGGACCCGTCATGAAACAAAAGGCAACAATTGTGGGTGCCACCAGGGAACCCCAGGCAGTCTCTTGGACCACCACCCACACAACGGACCTGGGTAGGGGCACTATCACCCACTCCTTTTAGGTCATGCCAGACTGCCCATATCCCTTGTTGGGGCAAGACCTGTTGCAAAAACTCTATGCCACTGTTTCCTTCAGACCAGCCAGAGCCATCCTGATGGTACCTGACATCCCTGACTATATCCTTTTCTCCACCCCTCTTGGGGATGAATACCTGTTCTTCGAAGGATGCTGGCTGACCAAACGACCAAGGTGGCTACCCTAAGGCCAGTAGGGCCCTTACTGGACTGCTTACTGCCACTATCACCAGTCTACTCAGAAACAGACCAAAAAGAGAGCAAACGCCTGGATTGCCTGATGGGTCCCCGAGACAGGCACATCTGCCCAGATGGCAGCCCCTTCCTCCTGGAGACGTTGGGATGATAACTTGTTAAACAGCTGTACTAGGAAACCTGCCTAGGAGCCACAAAACTCAACCTACTTATCTCCAAGCACCTGTATGTTCCCCATCTCTGCAAATGGACTAAGAGCGTGGCCTCCAGGTACCTTCCATGTACCAAGGTAAATGCGACCCTGGTGCCTAATCACATGGGTCATGCCTCTGGGGCACAGATCGGAAGAGCACCAGGAACTCAACTTCACTGAAATCAAGCCAGAGCAGTACGGATATGAATACCTCCTAGTCTTAATTGATACCTTTTCAGGATAGCCAGAAACATTCCCTGGTAAAAAAACAAACAAACAAAAAAACAAAAAAGACAGCCTTGACAGCAGCAAAACACCTTCTCACTGACATTATCCCCCAATTTGGATTACCTCTCACCCTGGTGTCCGACAACGGCTGGCCCTCATAGCCCAGGTTTCTAAAAATCTGGCAGCCTCTTTAAAAATTGCTTGGAAGTTATATTATGCATTCAGACCCCAAAGTTCAGAGCAAGTTGAAAGAATGAATATAACATTAAATGAAACCTTAACTAAGGTATAAAAACTGGCAGTAACTGAGTAGATCTCTTTCCCTTCACCCTTCTATGTGCCTGGTGCACCCCTTACATATAAAGCTTTACCCTTTTTAAAATTATGTATGGCTCTCCCCCTCCCTTTATTCCCAAATTAACCAATGAATTACAAGCCCCCATCCATAATCACCAAATCTTAAGCTCTTTACAGGCCTTGCAGACATTACATGCAGAACTCTGAGACTACATCCACCTGAGCCCTGTTAACCCTGAAGGTACTTCACCTCTCTGATCACTACATTCCCTTGAACCAGGAGACTTGGCCTGGCCAGATCAAACTGGCAGCCAAAAGTCACATCCCCTAGTCATGGAACCTCAAGCCAACCGGGGACCCGCTAAAATTCCAGTTATGCCAGCATCCCTCCTCCTCCTTGCCATTCTGCACTCCAGGCAAGGAGCTGGCAGATGAGGACACTGCTACAACCAGCACCAACTAACCCCAATGATTGAGTCCTCTCCCGTACCAAAGATGACACTGAGGTCTCCTGCACCTCATTGATGGACGCCCAATCAGCCTTCTACTTTAACCTCTGCACCTTGTTCAGCAACAGCTGGAGAAAGACACCATCAAGGTACAGACAACTTTGGGACTGTATAGGTTTATGATCAGCCCAAAGGTTCAGAAATACTGCCTTCTATCTATGCCCTGTGACTGTGTTAAGTTTGTATTCAAGTAGACAATCTTGTGGGGAGGCAGGGGACTACTATTGCAAAAACTGGGACTGTGAAACATCAGCATCATTGGGGCATAACAAAAGATCCACAGATAAAGTTCTGTAGAAATGGTCCAGGTACCTGTACCCAAAATAGCAACTACAATCCTATCAAACTATTCATAAAAGACTGGTAAAAAGAAGAATGGAGGACAGGCTTAACATGAGGTATCAGGCTATATGTCAGTGGACAGAACCCTGGTCTTTTATTTACTATTCAACCCCCCCGCTCCCCGCTATCTTCTATCAAACCAATAGGCCCAAATCCTATCCTTAATAGGAGGAGCCTATCCTTAGGAGGATTGAGGCTGGCTCCTCCACCAGCTCCAATCCCTACCATCCTGGACCAATCACCATCTCCTGTCACTTTCACCCCCGCATCCTTATCCCCTATATTTCATCTTTTAGATGCAGTGTATAAATTTGCAAATACCACAAATACCAATCTGACAAACAATTGCTGGCTCTGCCTTGACCTGGCCACTGTACTATGTAGGAGTGGCTACAAATACCACCCTTGGACATCCCCAACCCAGATACTTAACATTTCAGCCAGCACCTTCCAACAGAATAATAGCACATGTACCTGGGGCTCCACCCCACACTAACTTTAGGAGATCTGCAAGGACAAGGGTGGTGTATTATGTCACCAGACTATCCCTTACAAACCACCCCCTACCAAGATAATTACCTACAGGTCACCGAACTCATAAAATCCTCCTGCCTCCCCGGCCGCATCTCCTTATTACTTAGTAGCTCCTAAAGGAACTTGGTTCATATGCTCCACTGGTTTAACCCCTGTGTAAATTCCTTAATATTGTACAACACCCCCCAAGTCTGTATACTAACTCATATCATTCCTCAAGTCTACATTTACTCTGGACAGGGAGGAAAAAAACATCTTTTCGGCCTACAAAGACAAACTAGAGCCCCCATTTTAGTGCCCCTACTTACAGACATAGGATTAGCTGACTCTATGGCCATGAGTGCTACAGCTCTGGACACCAGGCCCCTCAACCCAAGTTTTAAAGCACTCACCACTCAAATTGATTCAGACCTCCAGAACTTGGAGACCTCCATCACCCATTTTAAAAAGTCCTTAAATTTGGGCAGCATCTGTGGCTCAAAAGGGTAGGG